CAGGATGTTTAGTATAGGCTGCTGATCGTTATATTTATACTGATTGTTTTCTTTGCTCATGCACAGACACGGTGTCTACACCAGACACGACAGCTGTACAGAGATACCCATTTTAAATACATTTAGTAGCAGAGCTACTGCACGCGATTTTCAGTGCTGGAAATCCATTTATCCTTTGTTGAAACTTCCGCATAGATGTGACGAGCGCAGGTCATGGTTGCTTAGCAACGGCAGACGCCACAAAAGCGCAAGCTCCTGAGCGCTTTGGAAAGAAGGAGAAAGCAGCGTGACTGGCGTTTTCCCACGCGCTTTTAGGCGCGATTTGTGAAAGGCCCCAAAGTCTGTATACACTGGACGCGACAAAGCGACCGTTGCCCATCATTTACATTTTGTGTCAGTATGTCATAAAGAGAATGCGGCAGCAGTTTACTGTTGGGGATTTGTCATGCCGCACCACATCCAGTGTAGACAGACAGCATCACTGATTATTATATGGGCTCATTGTATTTTGTCGCGTCGCGGCGCGCCACTCGCGTCAGGTGAAGACACGGTGAGAGCCACGCAGATGCACGTAAACACTAATTTCTGTTCACTTCTGCGTCTATTTGTGCCTGAAATACTGTGCTCTGTTAATCAAACAACAAAACACAAAGAAAATCACTTTTGTAGCATTAACACAGATTTATTAGATTTAATTTATACAGTGAAGACTATGCAGTAGGGTTGGGCCGATAGACGATGCCATCGTCCATCATGGATGGCTGACAGACATCACGATGTTAAGCTGACATCGTGATCCCCCCCAAACACCCCTCCCCCCCGCAATCCGCCGCATCCCAGTTCCGTGTTCGGAAAGGAAATTAAGTGTATTACTGAAACCTTAAAGATAATAAATAGACTACGAGATGGGAGGATTAAAAACAAAATTTCAATACTTTTTCTCGCAATTATATCGTTAGGTAAGTATAGGCGACTGTATATAAATTGCGGGCATCAGGGAGATGCTATTGAAACAGCTTTCGATTGCGCGCTCTAATTTTACTTTAACTTTTGAGATTCGCTATCACAAGGACTCTATACTATGGAGCAGCAGTACTTACCACACATTTGACAATATTAGATATTTGTCATTGGTAGTCAGGATCTGCAAATCATTCGCCATCGTCCTATCAGACATTTATCCTTACTCTGTGTATGTGGTAAGTGAACTTTCATGTACTGTAATGCAACAGATTTAATTTATACAGTGAAGACTATGCAGTAGGGTTGGGCCGATAGACGATGCCATCGTCCATCGCCGATGGCTGACAGCCATCATGGTGTTAAGATGACATCGTGATTCCACCCCCCCTCCCCCCTTCCCCTCTCCCGCAATCCGCCGCATCCCAGTTCCGTGTTCGGAAAGGAAATTAAGTGTATTACTGAAACCTTAAAGATAATAAATAGACTACGAGATGGGAGGATTAAAAACAAAATTTCAATACTTTTTCTCGCAATTATATCGTTAGGTAAGTATAGGCGACTGTATATAAATTGCGGGCATCAGGGAGATGCTATTGAAACAGCTTTCGATTGCGCGCTCTAATTTTACTTTAACTTTTGAGATTCGCTATCACAAGGACTCTATACTATGGAGCAGCAGTACTTACCACACATTTGACAATATTAGATATTTGTCATTGGTAGTCAGGATCTGCAAATCATTCGCCATCGTCCTATCAGACATTTATCCTTACTCTGTGTATGTGGTAAGTGAACTTTCATGTACTGTAGTGCAACAGGCTACCGCTAGCAAGCGGCTAACCTTTTAGTGGCTCCTAGAACGCGTTATTTGTTTCACGCTTCAGGCACACCCCTACCCCCCGATGTCATCGTCCATCACGATGTTTCACTGCAGACATCGTCCGATGCCAATTTGGTAGACATCGCCCAACCCTACTATGCAGTGTTATTTTACATTTGATTATATAATTTCTGTACCTGAATTTGTATCTTTGTTCTGTTATATCTATCTATGATTGTAATTTGTTTATTTCCTATGCTGATTTACTCGCCTACAAAATCACCCCAATCAATATATTTTTTTCCAAATAAACTATTCAAGCCATGTGGTGATTTTTTTTTCATATCGCAATATATATGTCACGGGGTTGCTACTGTGAGGAGCACAGAACGAGGAGACCAGGAGTACAAACCAAGGAATTTATTTTAATCGCGCGGAATCACATGTAGCACAAGGAGTAGACATTAACAATACCGGACAAAAAACCAACTGAAAGGGCTCGGACTTTTAAACACTGGATAACAAAGGACTAAGGAGACACACCTGGGATCAATGGAAATTAAACATGGGAAACACCTGGGATGAAATCAACAGAACGCACGGGAGACAGAAACTGGCTCACAGAGCAAAAAAACACACAAAACATGGGACAGAGTCTGACAATATATAGCAGAAAAATAAAATATCGCAATGTGAGTTTTTTCCAATATCGTGCAGCCCTACTATATAGCTATTTATTTTGCCCTTCATGACAACTGTGAGGGGGGTGAATTTTTTTAT